GGCTTTGGGTGGGATGATGAGAGGAAGATGGTGACAACAGAAGCGGACATTTGGGATGACTATATAGTAGTACGTAAATAACTGACCTTCCTATATTATTCTCTTGGTTGTTTAGGTTGAATGAGTAGTTGAATTTAGCTTGGGCATTCCCTTTTAGGACAATGTCTGGGGTAAGAAGTATCGAAACAAGAGTTTGCCAGACATTACTAGGCTGAAACTAACTTTTTGCAACAGGGTCGCTGATGGGGCGCGATCTTCAGGTGGGGGTGATGTTGGAAAAATGTAACTACCCCAACACATGATGTGCCCATGCTTTCTTCCCAAGTGGGCCCAGCTGATGTGGCAGAAGACTCATCATTGAAGCCTAGATGGAACCAATTCCTCCAAGTCCAAAAGGCACCGCTCTCACACTCCAATATCTCAAACTAGGATGCGACAACCCATTACTACTGAGTCAATGGCGGGGGCGATGGGAGTGATGGCCGAGAGCATGAAGGAGTTAGCTAGTACTAAGAAAGAAAATCCATCGACAAGAAAGAAAAATGCATGGAGCATATTGAACAGATGTATGAGCTAGGGGAAATAGATGAAGATGATCTCATAAAGGCCTGTCACCTCTTCCAAAATGCCTCGATAGCTGGAATGTTTTATATTTTGAAACCCAGGTTTAGGAAGAGGTTCTTGAAGGAGGAGCTAGCAAAGTTAGAGTAGGTGCCTATTGGTGATAGTGGTTATGGTGTTTTGAAGATTGTTTTTTTGTTTTTTTTGGTTGCATACAAGGTCTTCTTCTTCTTCTTTTTCCCCTTATTTCATGAGACTTCTTTTTGTAGTTTAGGGTACACAACCTCATCGAAGTTATGTGGTGATGAGTGATAACTTCATACAAACTTTCATTATCTTTCTAGTACTATCATGAGTGTGCTAATGAATGAATGGATACTTCGTATGATACTGAATTTTTTATGTGGATCATGACGTTGGGGACATTCTAGTTCACTCTTGATTTGTTAGGTGGTTTGTGATGTAGCTACTTGTAGTGATATGACTGAATTCATATTTTTTAATGTTTATACTCATATGTGTAAACTTGCTTACATGAGGCCAGAGTGAAGTCGTGTTATGGATCCTTCGCGGCGAAGATTATTTATAATGTCATACGCTGCATACGCCATGTGCTGTGCAGCATATTGGTATGTCACTTCCCAAATGCCGAGGCAACGAGTTCACACCTCCATACAAACGGAGGCGAAGTATGTGGAATATATATTGATTGGTCATCATCGAAAATGCTTTGACATCTTGCGGATGGAAAGGAATGCATTCATTGACCTATGTACTCTCCTAAAAGCGATGTCTCTAATTCAAGATATGAGGCGCTTGACGGTTGAAGAACAAGTGGCTATATTCTTGAGTACTTTGACGCATGACGAGCGCAATAGGGTGATCCAAGATCGCTTCCAACACTCCAGACAAATGATTAGTTTCTTTTTTAATGGAGTTTTAAAGGCGATCTTGGATCTGGGACCAATGGTCCTACAACCTCCAAGCAACGAGACACCCGATCTTAGCTTAAGTGATACACAAAGGTTTTACCCATATTTTAAGGTAAACGGAATCGTCTTTCAAATCATCAAATTATATATGTTTGAATTTTTGTTATTTGGCATGACTCAAATAGGATTGTGTCAAAGCTATTGATGGGACACATACCAGCACGAGTTAATATGCAGATGCAAAGGCACTATCATAACAGGAAAAGTGGCCTCTCTCAGAATGTTATGGCTGCAATTGGGTTCGATATACGGTTCCATTACATTCTTGCTGGATGGGAAGGATATGCATCTGACTCGAGAGTCTTATACGACGCAATTGGCAGGCAAACAAATCGTCTGACAATGCCTGAAGTTAGAATCACTTGGTATCTCCTTTGTATCACAACACAGCTAGTATAAATGTAGTTACATGACATATTTGATGAATATGGAGCAAAAAAATGCTCGTGAATGGAGGATACCCTGCTAGGCGTGCTTTCATCGCTTCATATCGTAAAATTCAATATCATTTAAAGGATTTGCTTCTGGTCCACAAGCGCCACAAAATGAGAAAGAGCTATTCAACTCAAGGAATGTAGTTGAAAGAACGTTGGGGCTATGGAAAGCATGATTTCCAATTCTAAGAAATCAAATGCAGTATCCATTGAAAACACAAGTCGGTGTAGTTATCGCAACAAGTATTTTCAATAACTATATAATGATGACAAGAGGAGCCAATGATCCATAGGAGCTTCAATTCAGAATGAGGGATCTCAGAGACAGAAAATGCAGGAAGGTGATAACAATGCAACACTTTCTCAGAGTGCAGATGACCATGACGAGGGTGTGCAATTACGAGATGCAATTGCATCCCAAATGTGGCATGCCTATGTCAATCATTAAAGTCATTCAATTATTTATCATTGTGGTGTCTTCTTATTGTTGATTTATGCCATAAACACTTGTTTTGTGGTGATATGTAACTGCTGTGTTTTTATTTTTTTAGTTGGACTCTTTCCAACTTCCTATTATCAAACACACCCTTGGGGTTATAGATAAATGGGATAACTCTCTACATAACGTAATCGTACAATTTAGACATTACCTCAATGAACATTTAAGAAAGACATCTCGCATATCATATTTGAACAATACAGATGGCCAGTTTTGCTTCGAATGCTTAAAGGGATTTGATGCAATCTCATAAAAGAATGTAAAAGATCACACAATTCACAATGTCAAAATCTTGATAAATAGGAATAATTTTGAAATTCACTTTTGCAATTTCTCTCAACATTTAAAGTTTAATGTGCCATTGCTTGGATATGCTTGTATCTTAGGAATTATTTAGGTTTTAGAGATTTGTCTAACATGAGCGCAGTCATAGGGTAATCTTTGATGGATTAAGATGCATAGAAGGGTCCTCGGCAGAGCAGAATGAAGTAACTCAGTCCATCAACAATCTTAAACATAGATGATCTACAGAAATAATTCATCTTGAAAACAAAAGAGATAGAAAATGAAAAGGAAGAGGTCAGCAAGGATCATGAAAGTCGTATAAAATCACAAAGAAGAAATCAACATAATGGAGATCAAGGAATCTTTATTCATTTGATAAGTAACTGAGATATAACTTTCTGTAGGAAATCAGTGGGGAAGTTCTTTAGAAGGGGCATTCAAGTATTCCACTGTATGACATCAAACATGAACATGTGGGAAACGAGGAAAATGTTGCAGCCACATCATAATAAGCATTAAAGTGAATCAATGACATCAAAGAGTTTAATATTTCCGGCTAACATTTAAGAGATGCATGTGTACTTGGGGCTATTTCAACCAAATTCTTTCATACCACAAAAAAAGGAGAATAGAAATGTAGGTAAAGGGAAACACATAGACCATTTACAGAGAGGCCATTTTACAATCATCACAATCTGTAGCTCATACCGTTTTATTTCTAATTTTCTAGTAAGTAAGTCTTACTCTCTTTAAATTAATCACAGCCATACTTTCCATAGTACCATTTGCAAGTATTTCAAGTACCAAGCTTCCTTTGAGTCTCAGCCATCGCCACACTGGTATCATTTATTAGGCCTCTTAGTCCCCTAAGCCATGAAACCTACTTCTAAAATAGCATAGGCTACACATCAAAGCACTCACTACTATGGCTAGGGACTAGTGCTTTGATGCTTCGCATAGGCTACACATAGACAAGCCACTATTAAGCTTTGCTCGTTGCATCAAATCGCTCCGCAAGGTTAAAAAGTCAATAGCCAAGTCTAGATAGTATTTTCACTTTCACTTTACACATGAACTATGTGAAACAAGTAACACCAACAACTAGGATGTACTCCAAATAACTTCCAAGAGGCTTCAAACAGGTAATTTTCTTTAATTTTTCAACAGCTCTTGCCCATGATGACTTAATGTTCCTAAAAACACCACGAAAACCTGTTAATTGTATCATCTAGCAGTACTTAAGTTTGACCATTTAAATATACGAATTCTATGATGTGCAGTAAGGTGGAAAGCAGGATAATCCAAACATATTTTGTATGTTGTAACTATTTAGAAGATTACAGCCTTGAGGCTTAAGGAGGAATATGACCACCTTTTTGATAACGCAGCTGAGCACTTCGTTAATTCAACTTGATCAAGCAAAGCATTTCCATGCCCAATAACCTAATTTCATATCCATCAATAGATTGAAGCACAAGCACGTTCAGTAAACAGCACCAATGAACACAAAGAAGTTGTATTTAATCCCACATCTCAGCTGCAAGATACTCATTCAGCATCTCCCAATGGAATATTTCGAAATGACCAAAAGAAAGACCAATCATATATCACCACAAAGACTTGAAGCAAGAACATCATGAACATAACCATTACATTATACAGCACATAAATGGGAATTCGAATGTTCCTGATACACCATCAATGGCTCTAGAAATATAACTACGGTATAATATAAACAGGCAAACATATACAAAAATAAGAGAAAATGCAAATGAAAAAATGGGTAGAAATATGCAAGCTGGTTTGGACATTTCCAATGATACAAAGATAATAACAGAGCACAAATTCATTATCTTGCCAAGAAACAAATACCTCTAACTAAAATCAAAGAATTCTCAACGAAGTTAACACATGCCATAGCTCAACAATCCAGTAAAAGGGACAAAACCCAAAGAGAAGGGAGGATATTACTGAAACAAGATATTCAAACACCCAAATAACCCAATTATCAAAGGATAAAAATATAAAAAACGCACAAAAGCAACAACCCAACATAAACAATCCAATAAAGAATCAAATTTCCACTTCAATATCTCAAGTTTTCTACAAATAAAGGGCGGTGAGAGAAACCCATCAATAAATAAATAGAATAAATCATTTAGAGTGACTACTATATGCCAGTAAAAATCAAATAAGCAGCTAAAATTGAAAGTAGGTGGAACACTGAACCTGGAAGAGCAAATCACTAGATATTGGGAAGTCCTTCTTGGCATGAATGCACAGGGCTTTGCCATCCGAGCCATACCTAAGAGAAGTATCCATTGAAAATTTATGCGGGAGGTAACTTTCTCTCTCCCCTTTTCAATTTTTAGAGAAAGAAAGTGAAGAAGCGGGCTCTTTTCTAAGTTTCAGAGAGGAAAAGAGAAAATGCAGGCGCCACCTCAAGAATCGGTATTAAATTGATACGAAAAAGTATGGGAAATAACGAAAAGTATTTGGTGCGTCGGCCGACTCACACTTTTTGTGTGGTCTCCCTATAGAATATAGGTCAAGGATGCATTTTCGATCCTATATTTTAGAGTTCAATATTCTCAACCATAATCTAAAATGTTTCTTTTTAGGGTACGGTTGGTATTTAGCCTAATCTCTAAACGATCAAATAAGAGTCCACCCTTAAATGGTGCTTAGAAATGTGGTTTCAATATTGGAAATCTTTGTGTTAGCCTTAAAATATATTTTCATATTTAAAATTTAAAGCTTAAAAAATAGTGTAGATCATATCTATGAAAACTTAAAAATCTTGAAAATTGGCCGTGCAAAAATGAGTTACAAAATATACTATTTTCAAAACTTGAAATCTTTTTTTTTATCATGTACATGCATCTTAGATGTCGAGATGGTCAATTTGAAGATATTTAAGATAAGCTCAAATTTGATTGTTTAAAGCCTCGGCTCTATGTAAACTTTTTCCTTCTTTTTCAAAATCAATTTTTTAATTCTTTTATTCCCCGTCTGTTTTGACGTGAAATTTTTTTGACATCCAGTGGACATTGGATAGACAAGGGTCCCGCACTGTAATAGGTGAATCGACTCACCAAAACCGTGTCCGAGAAATAATCCACAAACCATATGAGTCGCCAATAGTATGGTCGTAAGATACTACTCCATCTCTTTGATAGGTTTGAACCAATTTGGCGCATGATCCTCATTATAATTTCTTTTTTTTTGTTTTCTTTGGGCCCTAGTAGTACCAACGAGCCATTTGATGAAATCTCTAACTTCATTATTACCAAATATTAATGGCCCAAATCCTATTGATTTATCTTTTCTTTTTCTTTTTTTCTAGTAAATCAGCTGGTAAAGGTCAATACCCATTTCATTAATTAATTGAAAGATATTACAAAAGATACTCCCTTAGAAAGGGAATACTGAAAACATGAGATATCAAGAAAAGGGTGTGGTTTGTGTAAGGTTGCAACATTAAACAAAGTGAGGCTCACCTCCAAATTTTATTATAAGATGTAATTTTGGTGTCAAGAACTCATAGGATGGTCGGAGAATCCATTTCCATCACTAATTATAAAATTTTAAAATCTTAAAATGGTTCAAATTAAGTAGATATATAAGTACATGAAAATCTTGAAAATAAACTGTCCAAATAATGTGTTGCAAGATGTACTATTTTTTGAAGTGATTTTTTTTTTTTATTGTTTCCATACATTTCGATGTCAGGACGATAAATTATAGGGTTTTTCAATATCAAAACAATATTTTTTTAATGGATTTTTTAGGTGTACTTTAATTCTCCATTTTAAAGTTGCAACCTTATAAAAATTTTCCATTAAGAAATAACCAAAAAAATCTGGAGGGCAAGAACGCCAAATTATAACCTCTGATCATCTCGTGCACATCCTAAAGATGCTGCACACAGTTATGAAGGAAGTGTGTCAAAACGTTGAGGGGAGCATTTAGTACCAGACAAGTGCATGAATGGTTTTAGGATTAAGAGAGAAGATTGAGAAGACTATAGTGGTGGGTATTGCTCGTTCAGGTTAGAGTGGGGGATGGTTAGCTTTGAACTGCATTCCTAGAAAGCTAAGTATCTTTCGACTGGGGGATGGTTTAACTTTCATTAAGTCCACTTTATCTAACCTGCACATTTACCTTATGTCTTAATTGGTTATGCTGGATGACATTGAGAGGAAGTTGGGAAGGTTAATGAAGGATTTTCTTTGGGGTGATGATGAGAATGCGATAAAATATCATTCCGTCTGTTGGGATAGAGTTTATATACCAAAGAAAAAAGGTGGCCTAGGAATACAAAAGTTAAAATTAATGACTGTGGTTCTCTTGACTAAATGGTGGAGAAGTATACAGGGGGAAGACCGATAGTGGATAGAATCATGAAAGTGTTGTTTGCAAAATACATGAGTGACAATGAATGGTTATTAATGGGAGATGGAAAAAGGGAAGATATAGCTTTACTTTGTGGAAAGAGATTTGGCATTGTTAATTTTTTTTTTTTTGTGAGGAATTTAAGGTGGATGATAGGTAGGGTGTTATGACAAGATTCTGGTAAACATAAATTGCTGGGTAATGCACCTTTGAAAGTACAGTTTTCTGATTCGTATTGTCAATAGGTGATGGACATTATTTCGGGAAGGCGTTTTGAAGCTAATTGGAAAATTTTATGTGGACACAATAGAGTTCCAGATTTAGTCCTTGCACAAATTGCTTCCTTATTGCAGGAGTTGAAGATGGTTTTTATTACCACCAAAGTCGAGGATAAAGCTATTTGGGAGATTGAAAATGAATGGTATTTTTTTTTGTGCATGATGTTGTTTTATGATAGATTTAGATGGACTAAATCTAGGAGAACCAAGATCGGGAAGGGGCATATACTTCACAAGATTCAGATCTTTTTTGTGGCTAGTGACTCAGGGAAAGGTGTTCAACATTGATCAATTATAGAAAAAAGGGAGAACAATGGTGAATATTTGCATGTTATGCAAGGATGATGAAGAAAATAGAGGTCACTTATTTTTAGCATGACCGTGTACTCAATAAATTTGGTATTGCGCTATTGGAAAAAATGGGAATTTTTATAAACATGCCAAGATGCTCTCAAATGTTATGCAGTATGCACCATCTGAATCTTCCAAATTTCACTAGAACTCGCAAAATTATTGGGAAATTTACAGAACTGCAATTATTTGAGAAATTTGGAAAAGAGAGAAATAGAAGGGTCTTTGTTTGTTGAATATAGAAGACATTAAGAGGTTTGGAATTTCTTGGTAAACAAGAATTGCTCAGGTATTCAAAAGTGGATATCGTTTGTAATATGGGCATTGTTATCAAGACGAGCATCGTTAAGAGAAGAGCTCTTTATGGATAGGAGCCTTTGATCAATGCTTTTCAGCTTAACTTTGATGAAAGCTCACCGGGTAATTAAGGGTCTGCAAGAGTAGGAGGCTTAATTAGGGATTAGGGATCGTGGGGTAATACCATTTTGACACACTTGGGAGCATGTGTTATATGAAGCCGAATTATATTAAAAGACTCGAAACTTTTTGTTGGACTGATCTTGAAAATGCTATAATGGTGGAATAAGACTCTCAAAATACCATTCTAAGAACAAAAAAAATTCTTTGGCTTCAGTTTATGGATTATGGGGTAGAGAAGCAAACCACGAGGCAGATTAGTTGGGAGGCATTTGTTGATTGGGAAACTCGAGGAAAAGTCCCCGACCTTGTATCTCTGTATTGGTTTGTTCAGAATCAATTGGTGGTAAATGGGGTGGCTTATCCGTTTGATTAGGGGAAAATGGGGAATCCAGGACTTGTTAGAGAAGAAAAATGAAAATACGTCATTGATTCCCTCTCTAAGTCCTCCCTTTCGCTTCTCCTTATTCTCTCCCCACCAAACCCGCTCTCAATCTCTTCCCACTTGCTCTCATCTCTCTTTCACTTTGATCTGAACCAATAGTTAAGAATTGCTCATGTCACAATGCCATGCCAAAACATTGTTTGATTTTTTATTTTTTTCTATAAAACCTTTTCGGCTGAAATTTGGGGGGTCACGTCAAAAAATTTTAAAAAATTGTTATGAAAATAAATAACCAAAATGCCACTCACATGAATTTTTTTTTTTTTTTAGTTGTCCCTTGTCAGATGTATACATGCCCCAAATTCCGTTACAAAATGATTTATAGAATAAAAATTAAAAACAAGAAACTAAGTCATCGAAATAGACCTGACACTCAAGAACCAACTTGTGACATTGTGACTCAAGCTATCCTAGTCATCTATTCAAATCTGATGGATGAGATCCGCGGTCAAATACGTTACATATTTGGCTGTGGTCACATGTAAAGCTTCCCCACTTCTTCTTTTTTTGATAATTTTAATTTTTTTTTTTTTGAAAATAGCTTCCCCACTTTTTTTCATTTTTTTTTTTTTCTTCTATAAGCCTAGTAAGCCCATCCCAATGCGGACCAGGCCAGGGACTTTTTAGCTTGGTCTGGCCTGGGCATGCCAATAGAGACCAAGGCCGGCCCAGCCCGTTGCTGGCCCCGTGGGATGTCTTCATTATTTTCCCTCTAGTTTCTTTCCTTTATGCATTAAAATTTTCACCAAGTATTACTAGATTTTCTAAAGATCACCTCAAAGTTCTGACCATATTATCAGAAAATTTCAGCAAATGTTTGGAGATAGCAAAGTTTAGAAAGATCTGTTGAGCCTCACCATCTGCGAAAATTTTCAAGAACTTCCCATAAGTTTGGAGAAAATAAAAGAAATCTCATTTGGAGTCCCCATGCGATCCACTCAAAACTAAATGAAGTTCAGATATAGTGCTGACAAATAATGAAATGTAATATTGCACAATTCATAGCACAAACAATCCTCTACTGGCAGCCCAAACCAGCAAATCAAACTTGCACACTGGAGAATTTTGCAAATGAAATGTCATTTGCACATATACTATAGAAAGCAAACATCATTTGCAGTAACAGTTTTTACAAACCAGTAGATAACTAATGGAAGAGCTTGAAGTAGAGAATCAAAAGGACAACTAGGACAAGAACTGCAATTATGGAGCCAATGATCCATTTGTTCCTGCTCATTCTCCTTGACATGGCAGTAAGAATTTTCCTGCTCTTCCCAATATTATCATCCACACCATGAAGCTGCAGCCATTTTAAAAGAAAAGTGGGCAAAAGATAAATAAGAAAAAGGCACCAATTTCCTCTAAGCAAACCATTAAATGCTATAATTTTTTTTTCTTTATAACGGGTTATCATACAAACTCATTTCAAATAGACGATTTGTTTAAAATGCTAGGTTGGGTGGATCATCTGTTCGATTATTGACATAGATGGCACGAACCAGATCTCAATTATAGTATTGCAATGATACACTATAATCTCAATCGTAGTCTTATCTTGCCTAGACAAAAAAACAAGAGAGTATAACTTGAGGTCTACAGCTATGTCGACTGGGATTTTGTGCTTTATTTTCTATACCATATGAGAATAAATAGTGACGGTTTTGAGTTGACCGGATATAAGTCCATTATAAGACTGCTTCCTTATTAAGATTAGCTGATGTCGAAAAGGTATAACTGCAAGTTAGCGAGACTGGAGACTTGATATTTTACTTCTTTTTTTCGTTTTTTTTGGGAAATTTATCACAATGCCTATTGAGAGAAACTATTTATCATTTTACTCATATAGTTTGATTTAATTTCAAAATGCCCATCAAAATACACATTATCATGAGTTAGAATAGTTGCAAATGTGTAAAATGTCAATTAGTGCATCTCTAATGGGTATTTTGATAAATTCTGCCCCCTGCCCCCCCTTCCTCCTCTCAAAAAAAAAAAAGTGACTTGAGACTTGAAACTTACGTTGACAATTATTCTCAAGCATATGCTGCAAAAATTTCCCCAAAAGAATACACAGATTTAGGGTTTCCATTAAAAAAAGGTTACTAGGAAACTCAATGACATAATTCACCCCAAACAAGAAGACATATACGATGAAAAGAAACTAAAAATAACAAATAAAAAGGCTTACCGTGTTGTGGGCATGCAATAGAGACTGGCGTTGTTGATGCAAATCTTGAAGAATAGAGACACCAAGCTCCTCAGTCTCAAGCATGGTTCTTCTACTCTCTTTGACTCTCTCACTAGATTGACTCAATCTCTCAGTAGACATTAACAACCTCGCTCTTTGATCTGCCGATACCTGCAATATTTGGAAGAACCATGACTACAGATTTATAGAGATGGACGAGAAAGACTAGCTATGAGTCTGTGGCCATGTTCTGGATGTATTGTTTCATAAAACAGTTACGAGCTAAGATCAACATTTATTTCTATGTAAGGAAGAAACAACAATCACCATACGATCTCACAGAGAGTTTATTGTCAGCAAGTATCAGTATGAAAGATTTGCTCACTAAAATTTAAGATAATGCATCAAAGCGCACAGCAAAGGAGCAAGGAGCTATCTAATTTACTTTATAAACTAGTGGTTCACATTAAATCTCTTACTCCTTATATCAAATACAATATAAATGCCATATGTGCTGCTTCTAATCCTATCGGACTAGTACTTTATTGTGATCATTAGAGCAGTTGTAGATGTGCATACTAAGTCTTCAACTGCATATGGCTGCTTAGTAAACAAATTGTGATGCTTTGAGTATCAATGGTGCAAGTTAGAGGGAGGAAAATAGGGAGATATACATGTCCATAGTAGATGGGTGGGACGCAGAGACATTCTTCTAGTTTCCAGTTTTTCTCACAATTTTCTGTCAATAGGGTATCTGATTATTTCAACCATGATTGTACTTTGGACATTCTTACTTGAATATACATGCAATACTTCCCAGTTTGTGTTAACGAACACTTACTTTTTCTCAAGGAGTGCATCTGATTTAATGAAAGACATCTCGTGTCATAACAATTTCAGTTCATTTAGCAAAAACAAACTTTTCGCTTGACACAAAAGAAACCATTTTTATTTGGTTAAGTTATTTGAGAAATTCAACTACAAGTCTTGCAGTTCTGATGGTCTGATGGACCGCTCATAACAAAAACTAAGTCAAGTAAAAGTACTGCAATTTTACCATCAGCGTATCTGCCATTCCCGACTCCAACAACTCATCTCTTGCAGCCTGACCCGCATTGGTTGATGAAATCCTTTTAACTTCACTTTTCAAATTGTTTAAATCGGATTTATACTCCCTTAACTTTGCAAGAAGTATGGTCTTCACACCTGGCTGCAAACTTCTAGCCTCAAGATCCATCTTCCGAATCTGAAAACAATTGAGCAAAAACCAAACATTGTTATATATTTACATTCTCTTTACAAAAATAAATACAAGAGATTTCTAATTACACATACCAATGCCTCAGATTCATCTAGCCCAGTTTTTATTTCAGAAATTCTCTGCTTCTTTTGTTCTGCAAAAATTGAAAGAAATGATAGAACTGCAAAATCATCCCACAAGTCCCTCAACATAGATAAACTTTGGAGATTGCATTGTATAAAATAGACAGAGCTATGTCAAATCATTTCATGGTCCATGAGTCAAAGTCTTAAACAATCTACAGAATCCAAGAGTAACATATATCCAGTTCAGGTAAAGTCTATAATAGGCAATGGGTGCTTAGGGTAGTTCAGATCATTAGGAGCAAATACAAGTAGCCAAAGCTAAAAAAACAGCAGTTTGATGTAGAAAGTCAAGGTATATAATTTTCTAAATAAGGGAGCAAATGCTGTCAACTTGAATGAGCCTTAACTTCTAACTCCTAATGATCAAGCTGAATCTACAAATGCATACCATGTTTTTGATGGGGAAAATTTCATTGTAAACAAAATGAGATTTCTTAAACTGAAATATATCTATATGCACCAAGATATGAAATTTTCTCTTAATTTCTAACTCCTAACCACAAATAGGTGAACTGCATCCATAAATGCACAGTACGCGTTTTAATGGTAACATTTCATTGTGCACAAATTGCACTTCTAAATGGAAGAATATATCTCTATAAACAACAAGCATGGGAAATTCTCTCTAAGTGTGTAGCAAGGCAATGATTTACAGGTACACATAAAATATTCAAATACAATAGCATAATGACATTTCCACATTTATCCTTCATCCATATTTTGCGTTTTTAATGTCAAAATGTAACTGTTGCCTGGTGTGATTTCTACATAACCAAAGTAAAAAGAAGCTTAAGGGCATGTTAAGATGGCGTATATACATATGCCAGGCCCAAATAGTTAGGTCTTTGATGTGGTGCTGATATTCACAACATGTTGGCCACATTTAGAAGGTAATCGCCACTTCTAGGCAACAAGATCACAACTAAAAAACATGGTGTTTTGCCCTTATGCCGAGGGGTTTGGTCCGGTAAGTTGGATGCTAATCTACAGTAGGAAGAAAAAGAGCATACAAATTTTTCTTCAAACAATGCCCCTTGTATTGGTATATGCCCCTAGTATTCTTCCATGCAAACAACGAATCCAATTGATAATAACCATCACAGATATAGGGTTTGTTAGCATGCATGCGGGACCAGGGTTTGACACTGTTCAGCAGCATTTTAGGTGACGGATAATTCGTGTTTAAGTGATTCCTTTGGATGTCACTTTAGAACCCCAACTATGTTTCAGCACTCTCAAAAAAATAAATAAATAAATAAAAGGGTCCTCAGGAGCTAGATGAAAACCGAAAATAACGGTTTTCATCTCACTAACAAAAGCATTGGCCAAAATGTAAATTGCATCCAACCTAGGCAACAAGCTCTTCTCCAAACTAGATTTCCTATCTTTCTCTTTCTTCAAAATGAATTCAATTGTTATCTGCAAGAGAAGCAGCCCATCTGGCTAAAAAGAACGCAATTGTTGGAACCTGGTTATTTCAGCTCAGCCAGATGTGGGTCCAGGAATTTGCACTACAGATCTAAGATAATTTTGGAAATTAGCAACAGATAAAACAAACTCATCGGCACTACAACAAGTCATTTTAGGTGAATCAATGTGGCACAACCACTTCACTCGTGACTTAAACAATGCTAGGAAAATGTAATTTCCGATCAGCCAGTTTATAAGAGAAATAAGCAACATAGAGGGTAAAAGGTGTGCAAAATTTAACCAAAAACCAATTAGAAGGCCAGTGTTCATTCTAATCAAAATGAGTATATGGCTATATGCTGATTGCAGAAAGGGATAATCCTGACCTCCATCAAGATGAACAGCAGATGTGCACTTTCTTGAGAGATTTGCAGAAAGCTCACAGTATTGGCGCTCATATCCTTCAAATACCTCGCTCATTGTGGATTGCAAAAAAGCCTAGCTCTCCCGTATACTGCAAAAAAGCAGTTAAAATAAAAGACAACTAAATGATGCTGATATCCATTGACAAAACGTATACAATGTATCATATACTCTTACATATAATATTTTGAGGCAACTATCGCTTACTGGACAGGGATAAAATACATCCGAAGAAGAGCCGGACAGTATTGAAGATAGTGTGTCATAGCATCAACAATAAATGAAATAGAGAGGGTACCGGAGAGTTTTGTTAACAAGAGAAATATTGGACAAGTCCTCAACTTTAAATTACAAAGAAACACAAAAGAGTCAATCAATAAGTTAATACAGGATATAGAAGCACACTTCATCGGCAACAGATTCAATGCCTTCAAATCAATACACCCATGGCTTACATCCTGATATAAAACAATTTTTTTCTTTCTAGGTCCATATGAACTTCGAATCTTTTTAAAATGTTCGCTCCATAAACGACATAGGCTGGGTATACAAGATTCAAGAAAGGTGGAGACAGTACAGATAGATTCTCACAAAAGAAAGGGCACTTACTAATAAATAGCCAAATGCAGCACGAGTGGCTTCCCAAAACATTTTTTGAAGAAAAAAATTGTAGGCTTCCCTAAACTTTAATGGCTCTTTCTATAGTATGTCACACAAAAGCAAGAGTGGATCCAATATTATTTGAATGAATTGCAAGACCAGAGTACAATATATAGTTAACCAAAAATTAAGAAACCCACCTTCCAATTCAATTTGGGAAATTGTTGAAGATCAACAAATCCAAAATATTGATGGATTTAGACAACAAAGTAAAAGTAAAAAAGTTCGCCATAAGGGATAAAAAATTCCATCACACTTCAACCAGAATCTTTAGCCCTAATAGAGGTCTGTACCCATCTCACCACTGAATTAAAAGGGCAAAAAAAAAGCCCAAAATTGCCCCTCCATTACCTTAAATCTATGAAACTACTCAATTCATCACAGTCAGCAAGAAATAAGATTGAAATGTATCAATCAAATTTAACTCTCTAAAAAAAATAAAATCTGAACACAATTTTCCAGGAATAAAACCCATTTCAGGCACTCAACAAATACAATTTCTCATATACAAATTGGATACGAATCGATAGAGAAAAAAAAAAAACTAAGGCTCTTTAAGCGCGTTACCCAAAATAATCACTTGTTGTTTGTTGATTTCTTCAACAATCACCGACTAGAGAAAGAACACCAGTGCAAGGAGGGGATCGTAGGGGGAAATTTATGTTCTCAAAAGGCCGGGGGACATCAAGGCAGGAGTGCGATGAATACATGGGGTCGCAGGCATTTTTGTTTTTATTTTTTAAAAGAAAAGTATGAAGAGAAAATGACATAAACACCCATGCCTTTCCTTTGATTGACAAAATATGACTATATTTTGTCATATGACAAGAAAGCCCTTGTGCTTTCCTCAATTGACACAAATTATAAAGCAAAATTGTTTCACGCCCGCGTTTCTACATGTGGTTCAAAAAAGTGTAAAAACATCCAATTTTGAAGAGGATGCAAGTAGGTGTTTCATCTATAAATAATGAAAACTAACGATCTACATATATTTTTATTAGAGTTAATATTTTTATTTTTAAAATTTATTTATTTTTTTCATATTCATAATTTTCGTGTTAGAGATTATATATTTTTAAAAATTAAATCTTAAAAATAGATTTATTAAGAGGCCCCCATTTCTATACATGCAGCATGCAGCCTTGGCCACATAGAAACCGGGTCCATTTATAAAACTAGTAACATGTCACACATTTTGCTTGAGGGAATGCTTACTCCATAACTAGATGTTTGTGGCCAAAATCTGTGAACCAAATGGATGAGACCTTTTCTTCATTCCTAAAACAAAATCAATAAAAATGAAAATAATGGAGATGGAGATGGAGATGGAGGTTCCGTCAAATTATGGTCTCGACAAAACCAACCTCTCGTAGAGCATATTTTCTATAGACTGGCGGCCGCTCCTGCTAGGATTCACCAAAACTAAGGAAAGACTAATTTCTAACTATGGTGGGCTTTAATTTGATTGTTTAGAGTCTCGGCTCTATATAAATATTTCCATTAACTATAGGTTTAAATATGATTTCAGTTGAAACTTCAAATGAAAGAGAAAACAAATTGAAACTAAAAGAGCACTTGACTTACTCAAGCTGGGCCCATGGGCTCAGGACCCAAAGTTGGGCCCTGGATTAGTGGTCGACCGAAGTTGAGGTTTAAGCTTGAATGTCTTGAAATGGGTTGAATAGTTGTTATGGCTTAGGATATTTGAAAGTCTGGCAATCTTATCCTATTCACCTTGGCCTCACCGTAGACCAGATGATCCTTGGGATCTCATGATATTTGAAATCTAGAAAGGTGGATTTAGAGTTTCAGGATCCACGTGATCTAATAGTTCTTCATTTTAGAGCTTTGGGCTAGGTTTAGGCATTTGGGGTTTTGAGGATAAGGGTGGTGCAGTTTGTATAGAGTTGAGGTTCTAAACAATCAAAGTGAGGCACACCTTCAAATAGTATCTAGAAATGTGGTTTCAATACCGAGAATTTTTGTGATAGCTTTAAAATATATTTTTATATTTAATTATAAAATTTAAAGTTTAAAACATTGTGTAGATCGAGCAGATCTATGAAAACTTGAAAATCTGGAAAATTGACTGGCTGTTCAAAAATACATTACAAGATGCATTGTTTTCAAAACTTGAAATCCATTTTTTCTCATCTCCATGCATCTTGATGTTGAGATGATCAATTTGAGGATATTTGGGCATCAAATCAACCTCTTTTAGTGAAATTTTTAATGTGGGCTCCAATTTGATTGTTTAGAGCCTCGGCTCTATATAAACTTTTTTTCTTAAAAAACTGTCAAGTTGGCACGGAATCGCTCCGTCTGATCTTGGAATCGGTCAACCCGCTGCGGTTTTGTGTATATAAAAGAAATCTACTGAGTCTAAAGGGAACTGACGATTCTGCACAGTAAAACAACGATTATTTATAGTAAAACGGCAATCCGGACCCTGAATTACCAATATGGATTGCGTTTTTGCCAGTTCACTTGTTTTTTCATGTATTTTTTTACCGGTTCACTATTGTTTCTGTATAATAAAATGGCAATCTGGATTGCTAATTCACCGATCGGGACCAGTTTTTGAGGTGCTAGTTCCGGAACGTTGATCCATTTTTTAAAGGGTGTGGTTTCCATAAGGTTGCAACCTTAAACAATCCAATTAAGGCGTACATTTAAATTTGATCATAACATATAATTTTGATGTAAAATATTCTTAGGATTATCTCAAAATCTATTTTCATATCTAATTATAAAATTTTAAACTCCAAAAATGGTTGAAATCAATTAGATCTATAAAAAAGACGAAACTTTTGAAAATGGACGGTCTAGATAATGTATTGTAAGATGCATTATTTATGGGACTCAAAATCCCTTTTTATTTCATAATCATACATCTCGATATCAAGATTATCAATTATAGGGTTTTTCAACATTTTAACAACCTTTTCCGATGGATTTTTGATGTGTATCCGTAGTTCTACATTTTAAGGTTGCAACCTTATATAAACTTTTTCCTTTTTTTAAATCACTAGTCTAAAGGGTAAGGGTGGTTTGAATGCTAAAAAAATTGTAACCTGAACACAGCAAATACGAGGGTTTAACGGCAAGCTTTGCGTCATTAATAGTGGCAAGCCGAAAAGACGTGGTATCTCAGCACCTGTGTTGCTATCAGGAGGCATTGTGAGTAAGTTTTTTTAGTATTGACTAGGGGTTTGAGATGTTTAATGGGCGTTTTAATGCAAAATTTTACTCTGTTTACTAATTTTTAAGCGGTCATTTTTTGGGTTGGGTCATTAAAGAGAGTTTAAGGTGTGATTAAGGGTCTAATGTTGATGAGAGGTATCCTAATCTAAGATTTAAGCAGTTTTGGAAGTCATATTTTGTAAGGTTCTTAGCCGAATTTAGAGAGTCTCTCTTAGTGGTTAAGCCTATTTTGTAAGGTTCTTAGCCGAATTTAGAGAGTTTTCCTAAGAGATTAGGCTAATTTGGAAGGTTTAATTTTAAGTTTAGTTAATTATGTTTGCCGAACAGTTATGGCTTCTATGGTATTCTAAGTTTGCTTATTAGGGATGAATGATGCATGGGATTATCTGATTCGATCTTGAAGATATTTTTAGGGAGGCTTCACTACATGGGCTCAACTCTATTCAAACATGATCGAATCAAACCAACCCCAACTCCTATTCATTTTTTTAAAACCGATTTTTGAGCCAGATCGTTTTGAAAATAATGGAGAAATTCAAAAGACATCAAACGACATACTAATGACATGATACAATTTTAAAAAGAAAATTAAGGTTTTATAAAGCTGACATAAAGCAGTAAATATAGCACTAAACCTTGATTTTGAAATTGAAATCCAGACAAGCCTTGATATGGATTTTTTATGTTGAAATTGGAAGACAGAATTAAACTTGAAATTCAAGTAGATCGGGACTTTGAAGACTGCGAATCTAAAGGTGACTATGGAACTTGAAACTGCAATTAAAGCTTGAAATTCAATTTGACAGAAGATGAAAAAAATGAAATGAAGCAAAAATTTACAAAGATCTTGAAGAAATTTTAAATTGTAGAATAGAGGAGTTTTAGATGATGTTAAACTGCCCTCCTTTGCACTCACCCATGGGGTTTCCAAAATAGCAATTAAACCATTTATGGAATCATGTGCAGCGCCTGAACGAGACGTTGACATTTCGCTTGTTAGGAATGTGTTTTGTGTCAATTGGTCCAAACAATCGACAAATTTTTTTTTAAAGTTTTGTCTTGACTGTTTGGAAGAGGATTTCAAAGTTGAAAAGCTTGTAAATTGACCGATTCTAAAATCCACTCTTTTCTTCAATTGGCTATGTTTTTTCTGCAAATTGCGCCTTCTCTCGTTGGCGAATTGAATGCTTTCAAGTGGATTATATGGGATTTGAAGGACACGGTGGTCACTATCACCTTGTTTTGGCCGGTCCACTCTATTGGATGTTCCAAATGAATGAGAGAGAGAGCAATTTGTTTATTAAATAACGGTCAAGAGTTGAGACACCTTTGATTAGTAAAGAAAATTTTTTAGACAAATCCTATTTTATTTATATATATAATGAGACCGTTTATCTTTAGTACATGGTGGTCACAATTAATCTTAAACATTAAATGTAAAATTGGGTAGATGTATTTATTTTATTTACCAAAGCTCTCAAAACTGGGACTTTGAGGGTAAAATAGAAAATATATAAAACTATTTTTAAAATTTGAAAATAAAATAACATTTTTTATAAATTTTCCATTTGTAAATTACAGTCAACAATTCTTTGGGGAGATAATTTGAAAGAGAATTGCAACACTTTGGTAATGAGAGAGGGCTTTGGCGAGAGTTGCAGGGCTGAGAAACAGTGCTAACGAGGTTGCAAGGCATTGGTAAAGTGGGAGAGAGAGAAAGAGAGAGAGCTCAGTGAAAGTTGCATGGCTTCAAAAAAAAGAAGAAAGTATTCATTTAAAGTTGCAACATCCAAAATCCAGTAAAAAATAGTGTTTTGAAGTTGGAAAAACTTCCGAATGATCATATAGACCTTAAGATGTATAAATATAAAGAAAAAAATATTTTAAGAAAGAAAGTAACAGGGTTTGATGATGAGAGAGAGTTATGGAGCTTTAATGATGAGAGACAATCTAAACATTTTGGTTATGAGGGGGCTCTGCAGGGCTTCCGTGATGTCAGAAACCGTGCTATTGAGAGTTGCGAGGCATTGGTGATAAGAGAGAGAGAAAGAGAGAGCTCTTGTTACAGTTTCACGGCTTCAGCGAAAAGAAAAAAGGTTATACTAACTCTATACTATAGAATTATGGTGCACCTAAAAAATTTAGTAGAAAAAAGTGTTCCCAAGCTAGAAAAATTTATAATTAATCATCAGGACCTCAAGGTGGATGGATAAAAATAAAAATAAATATAGATATAACGTATCTTGTAACAAGTTATCCAAATTAGTATAGATATATAGTCAAATACCTGCCTCGAAGTCCCGTCAGTTGAGTGTCGTCAAATCCCAGATCCCTACTGTCTCCAACGAGTGGAAGACGACATACGTTTCGGCCTCAAAACAGCTCGAATACCTATCATACTTGGGTGGGGCTCCTTAGTATTCTTACCTAGGCTGTTTTTTCCTCTAACCAAAAACTCTTAACCTCTCACGAGCAGAGGTTAGAATTGGTGAATCCCAAACTACTTAATGAATTGGAACACAGCTCAAAAACCTAGAAAGAAATTCTAGTCATGCCCCTGGACGACGTTTCTTTTGTTGTACACCCCCTATCCCAGTCTCAATCTGACCCATCATCAGTCTCAGTAAATGATGTAGCTAGGTCTAGTAAGGATATACCGACCATCGTAGTTAAGGAGAGCTGCCTAATGTCTTGCCTGAGCAACATATTCCTCCACCAGGAAGAATAGACTAATTTCAAGACTTTCAAATGTTTATAAATCTGCTTAATTTGATTTATTTTGAAATTTCTAACACCAAACTTACTTCCTCCAGCAAAATTTAGCGCTATGCCTTAGTTGTATGGTATAATATAAAGCAAACACCTTATAATACAAATCTCACCAACAAAAAACAACGCAACTTTTTTGAAATAAAAAAGGGAAAATATCCTATTATCCCCTATTTTTAACTTCTATATCTCATCGTACTCAATAATTGAAAATTTTACTTATAAGCAAAAAGACTCTATCTTTTCTATCTTCCAACCCCCTAAATCTTTTTGATTATATATTATTGACCTCAACAACTTATGAAATGATTCTATCTCTCTTTCAAAACCTCCATCTCTCTCTCTCACATCATTGTCTCTCTCTCTCTCAAAACTCCATCTCTCTTTAAAACCCAAACTCTATCTCTCTCTCTCTCACACACATCATCGTCTCTCTTTCAAAATTTCATCTCTTTAAAACTCAAAGTCCATCTCTCTTTCACATCATCGTCTCTCTCTCAAAACTCCATCTCTCTCCTTAAAACCCAAACTCAATCTCTCTTTCTTTAAAACTCCATCTTTCTCTCACATATAAGAAGGTGTACTCATGTTCGAGCTCAAGCTAAACCCTTTGACTGGTAAACTCACTGAGAAGTGAAGAGAGAGAGAGATGAAATTCGAATAAGATGTTATTTTAATATTTGTTTGGGTAAAAAATTTATGATCAAAAGGGTCCAAAAAATTGTAAGATGGAAAAGATAGAGACCTTTTATTTAAAGTAATATTTTAATTCTTGAATCTCGTGAAATATGGAAGTTAAAGATAGAAAATAAAAAGATATTTTTTTAATAAAAAAAAACTTAGGTGATGAGAGACAATAAGGGAGTGTTTGTGAGGTAGAAGCCAGCATCAAAAGTAATGCACGTGGCAATCAACCAAGTTAAACCCTAAGTTAAACCCTATCGAGAATGTAGACCAATATTGCAGTTGGAAACCCAAAGTGAGGGAATAGCATAGGCCTTGGGCTCAAGATTATCGAGGCCATTGCACCTTTCATTTGTCGATAAAACATCAACAATGCATTGATTTGCAAATAAACGTGTTAAATGGTGCACAAGAAAACAAGCTCAAAATAAACCACTCCCAAGTTCTAAATCTATTTGTTTCTGAATTGTTGTCAAGATTATTAACTAAATCTTAAAGGAATGTCTTTGTTATAGTTATGAAGGCCGGACAAAGTGATTTAACTGATAGAACGACCAACCGACACCTTGACCAGTCTAGTATAAAATAGAAACTGAATTTGATAAAAGATGAATTTGATAAAAGAGAAAAGTTTTTATGCTTCCCCTGCAGCATAGAAGTTCTATCCCCCCTACCATCTAGCCGTCCAATTTTGATCAAGAGAGCCACTCACTGTTTGATCTTAGATCAGACATCTCAAAGTATTTTATTTTTTTTTTTTTTATACAAATTTTATGAATATGCAATTTGGTATGTGCCATCTTCTCATTAGAGCGCATTTATAAAAAATAAGTTTTCAATAAAATATAATGATTAAAATACCCTTTAAAACTTTTAAGGGCATTTTCATCATTTTATTTTATTGAAAATATTTTTTTTTATATTTCTCGCTAGTGCGAGTTTAATAGAGGAATGGACATCCAAAATTTGGTGTCAAAATAATTTATAAAAAAAAATTAAAAATAAAATAGTGTAGATACGTGACATTTTGATTGGGACAATTTTAGCCCTCTATTATTTTGAAGGGTTGGATAAAAGGTAAGATAGAACTTCTATGCTGTAAGAGAAGCATAGAAAGCATGCCCTGATAAAAAAAACTGGTCATAAATAGTGTTTGACTGATTTCAACTGGTTTGATCCACTAGTTTCAATTGGTTTAACCATCCCAACAAAGTAAGCAACTTTTTTTCTTTTTTTGACATACTATATTTTCAAACCATTTTTCATATTTTTTCTTGATATTTTTAAAATCTAACCAAATGGATTCAACAAACGGTTAAACCAATTTTGACTAAACCAGATCCTTCATCAATTCAATGGCCAGTCCGATCTAGATAAATTGGTTCATATATCAACTAAAACTTAAAGAAAAAAGCTTATATAAGATGGCTTAACTGCTTAACTTATATAAGATGGCTTAACTACTAAAGTATGATGTACCATAAAAATCCATCAATTGTTGCTATGCTATAGAAAACCTTCAAATTTGATCATCTCGACCTTGAGACATACAAATATAAAATAAAAAAAAATTAAAATCATAAAAGTAAAGTGCCTTATAATGCATTATTTAGACCATCTATTTTCAAAACAATTAATAATTTATAAAATACGGTCAATCTGTACTATTTTTTAAGCTTCAAATTTCATGACTTTTTCATACCATCATAGCTTTCTAACTCCCAAACTCCATTTTTTGGCATAGTTTTGGAATGTGCCTTACTTTGATACATTAAATCTCACTTGTTACCCAGCCAAGTATACAAGATCACCTTAAAAAATTGTTCAACCTCACAAAATTTAAGGGTAATACAAAACCTACCCTCCCATCCCAGGAGCACTAAAACTTTGCATCATGGTTATTAGTCCAAAATAACGAAAAGAAGTCAAGAAAGAGATTAGAAAACCTCATCAACGGTCTCGAGGAGCTCTTCTACCTCTTGCTTCAAGACTGCAATTCTCTGCTCATGGGAAGCAGCACGGCTCCCAATCTCGCGCCCACTAAGTTTCTTTTCATATGCCTCGACCACAGTCGAATGTTTGAGCATCAGCCGCTCCTGTTTCTCCTTTTCCTTTCTAACCAACTCATCCACCTAAGGAACTCACAAGAATACAAAGGCTCATCAATCCTCAGGTCTAACACAATAAAACTCGAGAGAAAAATAAATCCAAAAGTCTGCACTGCTTGCCAAAATTTAGATAACCCCTGCATACACAACCTTAGCATCCTAACAGCTTCACTTTTTTTAGTAAATTAACTGAGCTGTGCAACCCTCTCTCTCTGTCTCTGTGCAGTGAGGGAGAGGTTGCCTACAAGGGGAGCCTATGCTCTTCACACACACAAAGAGGCTCACTACCAAGATGCTAATACAATATCGAGACATTTTTTTCTCTTTCCGTACTACATAAACCAGCAGCATACCAAAACCACTAGTGCTTTTTGCTGAAATATATAAAACCAGCAATCGTATTGATAGTTATTTTTAATAAGGAACTTAGTGCAAGCCTTGATTCCAAAATTCAACTACAAGAGCATTCCAATTGAGATGTGGCATTTCTTATTGCAAGCCATTAACATTTGACAAGTTCATCTATCAAAGCTTAACACTGTGGAAGCTAATATAATTTACAGATGACAATCCAAGACATTTCACACTTCCAAAGAAAACAAGTTCGTTTAAAACAAGAAAAGAAAGAATACCATATAGCCTTCTACACTAATCACAGTTCCCTAAGACAGATAGCCACCTAGTCAGGCTGCAACACAATGGGCAGCTCAGGCCGGACCACACTTGCAGCCAGCCCAGCCTGGCTTGAAAAAGCATCAGGCCCGGTTCAAACCATGATATATAGAGATATAAAAAATATACTACAGATAACATAGTTTTTATGTAGATACATAAAATATACATCCACAATATAAATACATATCAGTTATATTTTCTGGCTGGGCGAGGGCTGGCCTGGCCCTGCCCTTGTTATGTTGGCTCAAACTCGGACTGGCAGGAAAGACCTCAATTTAGAGTGGCCCGTTGGCAGCCCTATCACTTATTTATTTATGGTTATCTATCATTAAGAAAGGACAATGGATGCCCCACTTTGTGTAGCATACAACATACATAGAGCTGTGTGGTTTGTATTTCCTTTCATCCTATAGGTAATTCGGGCCTACCAGGCCTAGCCCAGGGGGCCTTATTATGTGGCCAGAATTTGGCCAGCTTGAAATCCCTCATGACTGAGCAGCCCGTTAGCAGCCCTGCCACTTAGATATGGTTATCCATCATCAGTAATGGACAATGGATGCCGCAGTTGTACACCATATAAAGAGCTGTGTGGTGGGTATTTCCCCTTTATAAAACTCCCATCCCATAAAGTGCAGGTAGATATAACCCAAAGCATAGAAAGTGGCAGAAAAAAAGAAAGGAAATGAAGCGCAAACCTTCGGCCATATCTGAGCAGCCTGTGGAGATGACTGCAAGAAACTGAGCACGAGTTTTATTTCTTTTGCATACTCTTTCCACAATGCATCAGAAGTTTTGCGAGCAGCCTTGGAAGCTTGAACATCCCCAGTCCTTGAAAGATCACGTAGAGATAAATCGAGCTTTTCATCAACTGCTATACAATGGTTAATGAAATTCTCCACCTGATGAACTGCCGCTTGAACCTGTCATTAAACATGTAGTATGTATTATAGAAACTGATGATACAACACCATATATATATATATATATAGATAGATAGATAGATATAGAGAGAGAGAGAGAGAGAGAGAGATTGCATATGATATTTCTGATGAATATAACTGTTTCACCTGTAAATTACAATAATATTACTTTATGACAATATCAATAAATATACCGCTTGTTCCTATTCCCACAATCTTAAATTCTAGCCTTTGAATGCTATGTGTGTGTGTGTGTAGAGTACAGGATAGTCATAAAAATAAATTCAGCTGGCTGCAGGATATCCAGGCTCTCTGCACAGAGTCTCGTTTCCCCATGGAAATTAGTCAAATTTCTCAAACTCAGACATTGGCCTAAGGGTAAATGGATTATTGGGAAGGACTTCTTATAAGCAAAAGGAAATGACCTACAGGGGTATTTATGCCACAGCCACTCTCTCTCTCTCTCCTCTCAAGTAGCCATAGCCACACTCTCTCTCTCTCTCTCTCTCTCTCTCTCTCGGCTTTTTCTTTATTTCTTTTTTTCCAGGTCACTCTCTCTCAGCCTTTTATTTTTTCAGGTGGAAAGTCATTTGACCTATTTAAAAGATGCTTTACTTCCTTAAGTAAAAAGATCCTAATCAAAACCACGTTGTGAAGATAAACCTGAAAAGAGGACAATGAGATAATGATCTAGATATTGTTAATTAGACAAATTCACAACTTCACGTACCTCCTCCCATTGTTGTTTTGCAATGTACGCAGCAGAGGACTTTGAAATTGAAATATCAACATGCATATAAATAATGCAAGTGAGAAAAAACAAGAAGAAGCCAATAATTAGCATCACTGGTTCTCTCAGCATCGATAGACTGTTGAATTTGTAATAGACCTGCAAATAAAGGGAGGTATTAGCTGCATAAATAATTTATCATTTTCAGAAAAGAACAAGGTAAGAAAAGTGGAAGTGGCCTGGTGTAACATCATCCCTTCTAATCTAGTAACTCTTATTCATATTAGACTAATTTAGAAATCTGTTGACAAAGATCTTGTAACAACGATAGAAATTAACAATAAACCAACAAACCATGCTGGATAATGGAAAACCACAGTCCAATTGGGTCATTCACCTTCCCATTAAGTGCAGAGTGCGAAGAGAAAGTGGGCTTAAAATAATAGGATGAGACAGCAAGGTGGGCCCACTATAGTCATCACTGTTTATCACTTCATTTGGCGTTGACAGCATTAATCGAGTATGGTTTCCCATAGTACATGGGATTATAAGGCATTTTTGGAACATTGTAAACCCAATGTTATCATACATCTGATGCACAAAAATTAAGGTGCACCTAATGAAAAATATAAGATTGTGGTTAAGCTTAGGCATATAAAAAGAGTAATGGCTAAGCTTATTCTATAGGCATGTAAATATGTGAACCAGCAATTACACTACAAAATTTGCAAAAACTAATGAAGGAAAATACATGTGTGCCTCTCTGTACACAAGAAATAGTTAGTCATTGCTACTCTGTACAATGGTGATCAGTGTTTCTCCCACAATTTTTCCATTATAATTCATTGAAAACAGAGAATGAGAAAAATACAGAATACCAGACAAAAAGAAAACGGGTTGAAATCGAAGTACGCAGTCAATAGAAATAGCCTCTTTGATGAACATATTTTCTTGTAAACAAGAATACGACAGTGAGAAGTAGATATACAACAAGAGGCAGATATTCATTGTATATTCACATATCCTTTCACATAGTAGAGAGTGAGAAGTAAATTAAGAACAAGAATCTCCAGTTTGATCAATACCTGAAAATAAACATTGTGCTCGGGCACAACATTTTTCTTCTCTAGTACAACTACTGGTCTTCCAATAGTATCAAGGTGCAAATGCTTTATCTGCAACAGAGTATCAAAAGTGTGTAAAGAGCGTCAAGAAAAATGCATGTGCAACAATTAAAGTAATGAACCAATGGCAAACAACCAATAGAGTCAATTTATTCCACCTCTTGTCTCTGCTCTGTGGGGAAAGGAATGGAAACAGACATATCCTTTGATCCTTCAGGTAAAATAACCTGCAGTGGATAGTACCACCATAAGTAGTCCAATCTCATAAGCCAAAGCAGTTAAAACTTGGTGCCCATATCAAGTAACACAGAATCTTTTCCCAACTATTTGAGGTCTGCAAATAACATAAAGTTTCTTCGATAATATACTAGAGCATACAGAGGATAAGAAAGTCCAAAGTCAAGAAAAATATATTCAAATTCAGAGAGATGAATCATAGCTGGAGCCCGATTACTTGCTTTTATGACCAAATTATCAATGGCGACTTCATCCAAAGGAGAACCAAAAGAAATGTTAAGGAATCTCTTCCCATCAGACTCGAACAAGAAATCATGCAGTGGTAGACCATAGCCAATTGTAAAAGCTGTCCTCCAGCCACCAAACATTGGATATCGAGGTTCAATTTGCAGTTCAGTCTGCAAGAAAAGCACTTTCATAATGAACCTAAAATGCACTAGAAACTTGCATTGGTCTGTGTGACAAAAATTTTACATCAGTCAATCAATAATGATGCTTAACAAACGCAATGACATGTGCTACAAGCTTTACCTTCCTTAAATCACCCCACAAATGTGACGTAGAAATATTTCCAATATGATCTCTGTAATAAATAGAATGAGCTCTTGGTGGCAATTTTGCGAGGAGATGCCTAAAAGATGATGCTCCTCTGCTCGTGGGCCTACCTTGGTACTCGATCCTGAACACAAGGTACACATGAACATACGTTGTCTGTTCGCTTTTCTATTTGTTTAAGTGATATATTTTTTATAGAAAAGAGATGAGGGAATGCCAACAATAATCCGGTGGACTATTAAAAACCAAATTCTGTTAAGAGTTATTTTCATCCAGTGAAATGATAAGAGGTGACGGATAGAGAGTGGTCCTGTCCTGTTTTTGTGGGCCCTACTCTCTCCACCACCATCCATCATTTCATCAGATGGTGAAACCCCAACAGACCATGAACATTTCCATAGTCCATGAACTATAACATACTTTTTCCTACAAGCAAAAGAGAAAGCTAAATACAGTATATAACCAATATGCAATACCAAAACCCTATACAATCCCCAGACATACATAAATCAGCCCTTGAATATCCTTAAGGACAAGTACCGTCAAAGCCAGAAGACAAAGTTTTAAACACAACCTTTCTAATGGACAAAACAAGTGATTCATCAGATAGTCATTACATGCTATATCAGTAGCAGGGCATCATCTTACCTGGAAAATCCACCTTTGGTTTGAGCACCTCCATGGGCAAGGTTGTAATGTTCAGTAACCTGAACATTGCCCCAATGAGAAATTGCTATCTCTCTTACCAACTCTTTAACAACTGCAAAGGGTTGATTGTTTTCAAAATGGACAACAATGGGTGTGAAAGAGAAAGCACGAATATTCTCATAGGGACCATATTTGATCTCCAAGTCCGTGAATTTCACACGCTCCACTTTCGTGTATGATTCTACTCTAGGGCTAGGCACACGGATGCTAAGAGATTGAACCTTCACATCATAAGGAGACAAATAATATGCACTATCCTGATACAATACAAGCTGGTTATCTGCTTGTGTAATTTCTTCAGGAAAGGGCTTCAACGAATGTGTGTATACTGAGAACACTTCCAAATTCACAATTTCCCCTTTATTGATTCCTTTTGCCAATGATACTGCATATATAGTTACATCTGCAGCCATCCCCTCTGGCTGCACCATTTTTATGGGAAGATCTACAGAGCCTTTTGCTTTTCCTTTTCCATCTTGAAATGAAGCCTTCAGATATGCTAAATTCTGGACCTGGTGATTGGGTAGGGCAATCAAAACCTCTGATGCAACACGAGTCGCAGAATTTTCCACCTGTTAGAACACAAACAGGATAAGTTACTGCATCATCTTTGGGAAATTTATGAATTACAGTAATATTGTAATAACAACAAATATGTTAAGAGCGAATTTTAGTCCCGCTGCTATTGAGTGTCATAAATTTCAAAATGGTTTGTGTCAAAGAATGCTATTGCATATGCACTCCCAGATTCCTGATATTTGGGAATGATATTTGGGAATGCACAATGGCCTTTTACATATGCACTGTAGAACTGATAGAACACCAGTTAGGAGATGCGATTTGGTTCAAGTGGAAGACTCTAAAAAGGCAAGGGGAAGGCCCAAAAAGACACGAGTAGTAGCGAGAAAAGATATGGTGACTTTTGGTATGGCCCCTTGATAAAGAAGAATGGAGGAACATGATTCATGTAGCCAACTCCAAATCATTGGGATAAAGCTTGGATATTGATGATGACAATGTCCTTTTACGCGTCCAAATCCCATGAGGCTGTAATATTTCCCAAAGCTAAAAGAAAATGGTCTAAAGCATTCTCTTTTATTCCCAATAGTTTCCCCATTCATAAAAAATTGAAATTGGATCTTAGATCTGATTTTTTTGCTCAAAAGTTTGGCTAGAGATGAAATGTGTGCGTGTTTGTTTGGTTTTTCAGACAAGAGTTATCTATCATTATTTCTATCAAAAAAAAAAAGAGTTATCTATCATTATTTAGAGGCGGGCCCCTTAATAATTCGTGTGAAATTCCATACTATATTAGTGACATTTCAAAAAAAAAGAAGTTAAGCATAAGTGTCAAAGTTTGTAAATATCAATTATGGTTGTCATGTCTTTGGTGTGTCGACATACACCAACAACTGTCGATGCACATGTCCAATTTACATAGCTCTTCCCCTTTGAAAGGGAAAAAGTATCACAATAGACCTGACTGCTATTTACATCCTCGGGCTTTGTACAGAGCCCAGGTAAGCCAGGTGCTGTGTGATTGCCCCCAGTAGCTTCCCAGGCATAGGCAGGCAGATTTCTGCCACCCTGCCTCCATGTGAAGCCTAGGTGGCCACCTGGGCTGCTTCTAAACTCTAGTTTTGATTGTGATTCTTTTACAGATAGGTGCCTCTTTGGATCAGTTTTAATGAGGATGATTCTTCCACTTTTTTTCTTAATTTATAAAACATCTTCAGGGTGGTATACCTATGCCTTATAAAACAAATGATTGTCAGCCTGATGTCCCAAAGTTGAAACATTAGCTACGCTTTGTAGCTCAAATAACATTATTCCATGCAAGATATTGCAACCCTATACATCTAATGACACTTTCAAACAAAGATGGTGTATACTTCCTTTCTCCAAAAATTTCCATCTCAATTCTTCTAAGATATAGCATTTCTGCTGCATTGTGGATCTATCACTCATCCAGACAATGAAAAAAATCTAGCTTTTTTTTTTCCACGAGGCCCATCTTAAATTTTATAGCCTTTGATATAAATGACCAAGAAATTTTGAAGATCTGGTGATAGAGTTAGTCAAATGCAAAGAAATATATGCTTCCAAAGAATCTTGATGCTTTTTTTTTTAACTTTGGGAGGATTGTTAACTATAACTTATTAATGAAAAATGAATCATGTTGTAACCCAAGTTATAGAAACATTATCAAATATAATAAAGAACTATAATATATTTCAAACCAGATAACTACATCGTCAATGTTTTATCATACTAGAAAGTACAAACCAAACAAATTAAAGAAATATATTTGATACTGTAATACTTTTGCAGCCTCTGGTACTTGGAATCTATTATATAATACAGCGGCACATTTTGCTCCAAATAATAAAACACCATTAAGTAATAACCTTCCACCTTTAATGTTGAGGTCACCCGAACAATATGTGACGTCAAATCAACCTGCAAAAAAACAATCACTATTATTGAGAATAAAAATATACAATTACGTAGTACTGAGTTTGCATGCAATAGATTCATGCAAATGTTAATGGCAATGAAACTAGAACTAGATACTGGAGCTGCTAATCATTATGAAACCATAGAAGTTAGACAAAAACAAGATATAGAGTGAGGCAAAACTAAGTGGATATAGATTACCATATATATTTTAATATACTAATCAGAAAATTAACATACAATCATAAACTTTGACATGCATCAAAATCATTACAATAAAAGGGATAAGTCACTAGAGTATTACAGAGAACAGACATCCAGAACAGAAGAAACACCCCATGCAGGCTATACTTTCCCATTTACAATCCCCACTGCAGCAGCAAGATCTCCCCCGAAAAGGTTATGTTGGTCACACTTAAGATACAGGACCTCAAAAGTGCACAAACACAAAGGAAGACCTAAATCCATAAACAAATATGATACAAAGCCACTCCCCCTGTTCTCCAAGATTCCACGATTGCAACATTTCATACGAAGGAAAACGTAATATATATCACAAGAAACCCATTAACTATGTGAGCTATATAAACACAATATGGCATACCATTCAAAAAACACCATATAGCAAAAGACATAAAACTGTAATGGTAATTAGATATAGCTTTGAAAAATATTAAGATTGATAGATAACAAGTTATCTGAAGATCATACAATGAAAATATTCAACAAAGGCAGAAATGTGGATGCACATGAAGAAAACATGCCACTGTGATAGTGTGTGAGAATAACATGGAGATAGTAAAACTAGCATCTGCATGAACCCAATTGTAGTTTTAAGTTGATCTGTCTTTACTCCAAACGAAGTTCAAAGAGAATAAAGAACTTGTTAGTGTTACATTGAAAGAAAATGATGAGTGTCATGCTTCTACTGAGAAGCTCAAGTGGCACTAGGCAACCTTTTTGCTGATAGAGAAGAAAAAAAATAACTCCTATTAACCAGTTGATAAACAACTATGCTTTAAGAATGAAACGTTAACAGATAATCGAAGATAAAACAAATATGGGAAACAAAACATGAGAATCACAAAAGCAAAAGAGGAACGTGCAACAAATATGAAATCAAACCGTTTGTTAAGCATCATATGGAAATATACACATCATGTGGTGATCTCATATTTAACCCATTTTCCTCAAAAGGGTATCAGAGATGGGGAGAGATTCGTTTAGGCTATTGTTTCAGAGACACGTATGTATGTCAGTGTCCGCCCAGGATATGTACATTAGAGATGCCAATACTGAAATTGGCTTTTAAGATACGACAAGTTCGTACATCATTTAGAGCAAGAGGGACGTTCGAGCTTTGTAACATGAAGTACTTCTATTGTGGTGCAAAGAAATGACAGAGTTACGCAGTGCCAAAGTTCTAACATGCATCCAACTTACATAGGTTGAGGGTGACAGGAAATCTAGCCTCTGCCTTTCTAGGTTCTGTTTCAAAAGAAACCAAGCATTGGCAGGTTTTGGCGAGTATTAAGCACCTCAAGTGGATGGTTGAGTGTTAACATGTGAGTCTCTGGAAAGTACGAGGCAATGTTGCTCCATTAATGGGAGGTTTACTAGTAAGCGGGTGAAAGACCTTTTCCATTGTGACCAGTTCACCTGCAGCTAGTTTGCTGTTTATTTTATTTTATTTATACCTAGTGAGATGATTCCTTCTGAGCCAGCAAACATTATCGTACTAGTGCGATATTTATTTCCAGAGTTAGCGTGTTTTTTTTTAGTGACAGATAGGATTTGCATTCTTGCTAATTGCACACAAAGGCAAAAAAGGTGCTAAGTTTTAGCCTTATTTACTGTATTTCTATTGCTTCAGCAACATAGGACTCAAGTTTAGCAATTATTTGAGTTGTTACAATGATCAACAAATGGATCATGGATTCTATGACAGTAAATGGTAACAACTATGGGAAATCATCTAATTCATAAAAAATTAACTCCCACTCCTATAAGATATCAAAAAGTAGAAACACATTTTAAGTAACACCAATTCTCCGGCACTGAACTCCCTATTCATTATCTCAAGAAATCCAACCCTTTTCATAAACAAAACCAGAGAAACAGATCAGAAAATAAACATATCGGACAATGAAAAGCTCCAAAGAGATACAATGGAAACCATTATGAACAGTCCAACAAAATCATTCCCACCACTTCATTCTCTTTCAACAGTACATCAAAGCAGCCTAACGAGAAATAAACATAAAACCCTAGAACAGATGATTTCTCCCAATTACCTACCGCAATTAACTTCAAAAGATTTCACATATTTTCAGAAAATAAGGCTAACTAGTAAAAATATTCAACCCGTAAATCTCAAGATTGAAAAATCCTGAGAAACTAAAACGAAATGGAAAATCTAGGTTTCGTGGACTTACGCGGCGATCCACCTTGAGAACTACTAGCTCTGATAGTGCAGAGGATGAATGAATTGAGAAGAGGAGGAAGAGAGTGAAGATCAAAGAAATTCTCCCCATCGTTTTCAGAGCTCAAGCGCCCGCAAATAGTTGCAGAGGGCAAGGTTTAATAGCTCGAAGAATGACGCACACAGACGGAATATGACATGAACAGCCTACTGTCGAGGGCGGGTAAAGCGCACTCGCGCGGGAGCATATTGTACACTTGCCGCCCTAACAGATTTTCTGATTCACATGGCAATCGTATTTTTAGGATAGGAAAAAGTTTATATAATATAGTTCTGATTCACATAGCCATCAAATTTGAGGATAGGAAAAAAGTTTATATAAGGTTGAAATGTAGAATTAAACTGTGTCTTTCTAAAATTATTTGAAAAGGTTATTTTGATGTTGGAAAAACATCTAAATAATCATCTCCACATATATGTAAATATGAAAAAAAAAAAAAGAAGAAGAAGAGATTTTTAAATCATAAATGCATTATATCTTACAAATATTATTTAGATTGTCTATTTTCAAGATTTTCACAGTGTTCATAGATTTGTTTGATTTAAAACCTTCTTTGGGTTTAAATTTTATAATTAGAGATAAAAATAGATTCTCGCGCCATCATGAGAATTTTCGATGCCAAAATTGCTTCTCATGGCAAGAAGTGCACCTTACTTTAATTGATTGTGATTGCAACCTTATGAAAAACCTAAAAACACGCATATGGGTGAAATGCTACAGTGTTTCTCCTCCGTCACGGATTTGCTATGTTCGTGGTAGTTTATTGAAAGAACCCGCACAATTTTGTATCAATTTTTTTACTGTCACAAACCTAATATGTCAATGACGGTATCAACCACTGATATGCTAGGTCTATGGCGGTTGAAAAACACATGTCGTCTAAAAAAATTAGATGGCAATTGGCTTATGGGCAAAATCACTGTAGCATTTTCCTCCCATAGGCATTTGCACAGATGCTTCCATATATATATATATATATATATAATCGAATAATTTTTTATTTATTTTTTTGACAAATATTACTACTTTTATTAGATCTACGAAAGTGAAATTACATCATCAGAGATTACAAGAGACGATAAAAGAGCGCCCCCCTTAGACAACTCATCAAGAACTGAGTTAGCTTCTCAGTAAACACATGTAAAGGTAACCATGATGGGAACAGACATGTCCATAATGCGTAACCATAGAGGAAGAAGTTTCCAAGGAATTCGTTGCTCCTTATTACACTATTTAATGACATTTAATGAATCCCCTTCAATCCAACATATATCCCCACAATCTCTATCCCTGAAAATCTTCAAACCATGATAAAGTGCACACATCTCAGTCTAGTTTGCAGATGCACATCCAATTGGCACTGCAAAGGAAAAGAGATGCCAAAACAATCCCTTACCACTCCTCCAATACCAGTCCTTCCAGGATTACCCAGATAACTGATGGGTTTATGTGTCCTTATGAGTGCTTGTAAAATGAAATGATATAGTGGAACATGAATTCAGTGGGAGTGTGGTCCCTCATGAACCATACTAAGCAAATGATGTTTGCAGATACCGGACGGTGCTTGACGATCTAGACTAGTCGGTTGGGAAAAACTCATGTTACCTGGGCATAAAGAACAAATCGAGAAGGGTTCTAATGCCTTAGCCCTTGATGAGGGCGGAGAATATGTCCGGATGAGTGAGCTGAGGAACTGTGTGACCCTTGTGTATAATGGTGGCCAATAGAGATAGGAGCCAAAGCCTCATCTATGTGTCATCATATGGCATGCATATTGATAGATCATTCGGAAAAGCCATAAATACACATTTTAGGGTAAAGCGTATACATGTGCAAGAGATAGCCCTATGCGCCATAAAGTTGTGGTCGCATGAGGTCTTAGTGACCTTGACTTGTCTCTAGGGGATGACCTGAAATCCATAGATTGGGATTGTGATCCCTTGGCTCATCGACCAGACTTTGGTGACCCGCTAATGAGCCCCTGCTTGAACTGTGGGTCATGGAAAACAATGGATCGGTCTGATAAAGCAAGTATGGTTTGTAGTCCACAGTTGAAGGTCGAGTGTCCCATGATTGTCAATTCCTAAACCATATGGATCTTTTTCCTATTAAATTAATTTAATTGTGTTTATTTTATGATGAAAATTTTTTTAAGATTATTATTTGAATTTTTTATGAACCCTGGATATTTTTTTTATAATTTTTTGATTTATAAAATTAAAGATATTGATTTTACAATTGTTTAAATATTTAAATAATATTTTAAAATCTTTTTATTAATTTTAAATATATACAAATATCATGGGGGCCATTGTGCATATGGCCCGCCATATTTTTAGAAAGTGGGGCCCATAAGTGCCTCCCTTGGGTGGCACGCCCCACCCTTATTCTCTTTCCTATTTTTTTGGTGATATGGCATGTGGGCATATGGTTGGAAGATATTGACTTGATATATCTTTGAAAGATTTTATGAAAAGATTGAGTAGACTCGTGCTATTTTATGATATGCACAATATTTTGATTAGATTTAATTTATTTAATTTCTATTGATGAGAAAATGGTTTAGGAAAGCGAGATAATAGTTCATGCACATTCCATAATGTTGATGGCTCATCTATAGAATGAATGGCTCAGATCTCTCACCCCACAAGTCACTCGTAATCGACGGTCTATGTTCAATCTCACATGAAGAGGCAAGCCAAATAAAACCCTAAGAAACCATAATCTTATTCAAAGCTTATAAAAAATGAATTGTCTCTACCAAAAAATCTCTACACCTTATCTTTCTATCTATCTCTTAAGAAAGTTTATCTCTCTCATGTTTGATCTGTCTCTCCTACATTTTGAAAAAACCTAAGGGTTTAGGTTATGGAGTTATTCTCTCTCAAATATGGATTTATGGCTAAGGGTTTTAGGGTTTAGCAGAAAAATAATCCATCTATCTCAAACTAGGTTGCTAAGAGAATTCATCTAGGGTTTGAGTTTGTGATCAAAGAGGTTCATGTTCTATTGGTGTGGCTTGGCCAAAATTTGCTTTCTCATTTCGAGATTGAAGTTAGACCGTTGATCCCAAGCCATCGGATGGTGGTAACTCGGTATGGGGTGTAATAAGCCCGGTTGAGGTAATCTCCGACACTCTTCCTTTTGTTTCTTGCAATCTTATATTTTATTCTCAAGCATAATGGATAGTTGTTTCAATGGCATCAAGTTGTTAAGATATTGA